CCTCTCAGTGGCATCTTGGCCAATGTCTCTTAATGATGCTATTGACCTCTTAGTGGCATCTTGACCAATGTCTCTTAATGATGCTATTGACCTCTTAGTGGCATCTTGACCAATGTCTCTCAATGATGCTATTGACCTCTCAGTGGCATCTTGACCAATGTCTCTCCATGATGCTATTGACCTCTCAGTGGCATCTTGACCAATGTCTCTCCATGATGCTGTTAACCTCTCAGTGGCATCTTGACCAATGTCTCTCCATGATGCTATTGACCTCTTAGTGGCATCTTGACCAAGGACATTGGGGCCTCATAGAAAGACCATTAGGGACCCCCTGTGTCTCTAAGTTCCATCTCAAAGGCTGTTCCTTTAGTTATACAGAAAATCAACTACTTTCATAGCACTTGGAGTTTTTCATAAACTCCAGCAATACAAATATATTTCCTAAATCTGTTGCTACCGGCATAAATTAATGCGTAGCCTTTAAATGCTGGCCTCTTTCTGCTTTTGGGCCCCAAAGCAGCTGCATGATCTGCTATGCCTGTTCTTTGGTCCCGGAGGTGTGAAGGTAACAACTCCCTTACGAACGAACTGGAGTTGGCAAAGCCGCAGACTATCACTGCTGAGAATTGTATGCGATATAAGAACTGGTTAGATGATAAAACCCATCATTGCCCATAAAAACGGAAAAAAAAAAAATGTGGGTGCTCTTGGATGTTAAAGATGAGACAACTAGACTCTTGGAGAAGGCTTGTCAATAGGTGTCTAAAGGGTCACCAGAACACCAACCCAATTGGTTGCTTTGAATGGCGGAACAATTGACCCACCGGTTTTATTGACCCCTCTGAGAATTCAACAGAGGTCTCCCCTCCCCCAATGGCAACAACTCTTTATAAATGTTAAAGGCTAAACCATGCCTATTCCACAAAATGTGTTGCAAATCCATATTTCTGAATGGTTTGATGACTACTTCTACAAGTGTTGTAATATTGGAAATGTGTATTTTGTTAGCCTTTCTCAAATCCTTAGAGGGGAATTTCTACTGCTTGAGAGAAAGAAATGTGAATTATTGAATTTACAGTATATGGCTAATGTCTAGATTTACGATTTTAGTCTAATTTCTGCAATTTTTGTAAAATTAAAATTGGTGCACAAGCGCTCTGCAAAAGGCGACACGCCCAGGAATGTGTATGCGACCTGCAGAAAGATCTGTCGTTTCTGGCAGATAGGATGGGAAGGAATATCCTGTAGATGTTATGGAGTAGAAAGTCGATCACGGAGGTTAAAACTGGAGGAGGAATGGGAAGAATGGTTAAAATTGGACAATAAACTGGTGAACCCAACATTGAAGTGAGATCCTGAGAAATGGATATGAGAAACTATTACCCCCCCCCCCCATTTTTTTTTTTAATCTAAAGTGGGATATTTTCTAATAAAAGACAAGAATTGAGGGCAAGAGGGGCAAAGACAACTACTAAAGCCTAAAAAAAGGTTCTAGCACTTTCGCCTTTGTAAAAATGGGAAAATTGTATCAAATACGTATCATAAATTTCCTTTCGTGGCGCCAATCTGTAGCAGCTTATATGTGGTGGTATCCCCGCCTACTACATGTATGCTGCTATGTTGGCGCCAGGAAATTGGAAAATTTTATCAAATACGTCCCGTAACTTTCCTTTCATGGCGCCAATCCATGTACTACCTCATGTATGCTGCCATGTTGGTGCCAGGAAATTTTTTTTTTCTTTTTATCCCTGTTTGTATCCATGCCTCTTCCTCTGCTTTCTGCCCCAGGGACCCCCCTCCCTCCCATCAACTTAACAGGAAGTGAGGACACAGTCCCCCCCCTAAAAAAAAATAATAATAAACTTAAAAAAATATGTATATTAGCTGTACTAATGGCACTGGGCAGGAAGGGGTAACATCTGGGGAGATCAAAGGGTTAACTGTGCTGTGTGTTTCACTGTACGTATGCTGATATGCACAGCCATACAAAGCAGTACCGGAGTACTTGCAGGAAACCCACGCAGGCACAGGGAGAACATTTGAACCCATGACCCCTGTGCTGCCAGGCGGAAATTGCAACCATTTATCCACTGTGCTACCTATAAAGTTGTAATTAGGGCCGGTGCAGGAATTTTTGTTTACATAGGTCATGGGTGTCAAACTGGCAGCCTGCCAGCTGTTGCTGCACTACAATTCCCATGAGGCCTTGCAAGATTGACAGTTACAAGCATGACTCCCAAAGGAAGAGGCATGATGGGACTTTTAGTTTCGCAACAGCTGGAGGGCCACCAGTTTGACACCCCTGACATAGGTGAAGGTTCATTTTGGTACCCCCCTGTCCTCCAGCCACCCCAACTGGTCCTGCTGTAAACCCCCCACCCCCCTTGGGTCAATTTAAACAGGAGCCAATTAACCTCCCAGCATGTCTTTGGAGTATGGGAGGACACCCAGGCAGGCACAGGGAGAACATGCAGACTCCAGGCAGGTGGTGCTGTGGCTGGGATTTGAACCAACAACCCCGGTACTGCCAAGCGGAAGTGCTAACCATTTATCCACTGTGCTACCTATAAAGTTCTAATTAGGGCCGGCGCAGGGATCTTTGTCTACATAGGTGAAGGTTCATTTTTGTACCCCCCTGTCCTCCAGCCATCACAACTGGTCCTGCTGTAAAACCCCCAACCACCAATCCTCCAGCCACCACAACTGGTCCTGCTGTAAAACCCCCAACCACCCATCCTCCAGCCACCACAACTGGTCCTGCTGTAAAACCCCCAACCACCCATCCTCCAGCCACCACAACTGGTCCTGCTGTAAAACCCCCAACCACCCATCCTCCAGCCACCACAACTGGTCCTGCTGTAAAACCCCCAACCACCCATCCACCACAACTGGTCCTGCTGTAAAACCCCCAACCACCCATCCTCCAGCCACCACAACTGGTCCTGCTGTAAAACCCCCAACCACCCATCCTCCAGCCACCACAACTGGTCCTGCTGTAAAACCCCCAACCACCCATCCTCCATCCACCACAACTGGTCCTGCTGTAACCTCCCCCCCCCCCCCCCCCCGGTCAATTTAGACAGGAGCCCATTAACCTCCCAACATGTCTTTGGAGTGTGGGAAGAAACTGGAGTACCCGGAGGAAGCCCACGCAGGTACAGGGAGAACATGCAAACTCCAGGCAGGTGGTGCCATGGTTGGAATTCGAACCGAAAACCCTAGTACTATCAGGCGGAAGTGCTAACCATTTATCCACTGTGCTACCTATACATTTCTAATTAGGGCCGGCGCAGGGATCTTTGTCTACATAGGTGAAGGTTCATTTTGGTACCCCCCTGTCCTCCATCCACCACAACTGGTCCTGCTGTAAACCCCCCACCCCCCCTAAGGCCAATTTAGACAGGAGCCAATCAACCTCCCAACATGTTTTGGAGTGTGGGTGGAAACCGGAGTACCCGCGCAGGCACAGGGAGAACATGCAGACTCCAGGCAGGTGGTGCCATGGTTGGAATTCAAACCAAAAACCCTAGTACTGCAAGGCGGAAGTGCTAACCATTTATCCACTGTGCTACCTATAAAGTTTAATTTAGGGCCGGCGCAGGGATCTTTGTCTACATAGGTGAAGGTTCATTTTGGTACCCCCATGTCCTCCAGCCACCACAACTGGTCCTGCTGTAAACCCCCCCTAAGGCCAATTTAGACAGGAGCCAATCAACCTCCCAACATGTTTTGGAGTGTGGGTGGAAACCGGAGTACCCGCGCAGGCACAGGGAGAACATGCAGACTCCAGGCAGGTGGTGCCGTGGTTGGTTTGTCCTTTTTTGAAGAGCGCTTGTCCTCCTAATGCAGTAGATTGGGTACACTGCTGGAACGGTGGTATTCCAGCGACTGTCAATGACAATGTTGTATTGCATAGTCAGAAGGTAACAACAAAATAGTGTTTGTATTGCTCAAGTCCAATGTTTCCCTCCCAAACCGAGAGAATGCTAAATTTTTTCGAAGCACGAAATCTGCCATTACCATTAGCTCACCTTTTTATGCAACAAAACCATCAGTTCTATTCTTATTTTCCCAAAGCTTCCTCCCTGTAGCTTTAGTAAACATTTTTTAGAAAGAAATATGATTTTCTTAATTCATGTGCCTGTCGAATCATTACGCCAAATGATACTGACGGAATGTCATGAAGCAGTATCATAAAATTACATACAGACATTATTTTGGTGCAATAAACATGTGTTTTTTAAGAAGACTTCTTACTAAACTTACATGTTTATTACTTGCTAAAAACATGTTTCTCCAAGTGCCACACCTATATTTCGAGGGGCCGAATTTTGTCAAAGGATTAAAAAGAATAAAAATAATAACAAAAAAAAAAAAAATAAAAATATATAAAAAAAGTAAACGAAAGAGAAATTCGACAATTGACTTTCTTGAATTGTTAAAAAAGCAAAAAGGGCTTTCGGCCGTTTTGAGTTTTTTTGTTCCTGGCGAAGATGCTAGTTGGGCGTTGGGTTTTGCCGATGAACCCGCCTCCGAAGCCTGGGTGGGGCACTGAAACATGCATCCTTATATTTTTGCTCCTTATGAACCAGATAACACATGAGATGCAATGAGGTTGATCAACACAAGAATTAAAATTGTTCGAATTGCCGATTTTGTTTTTTTCTGTTGCCGAGAGTGAACTTTAGCGAATCTTAGCCGTAGCTTCTGATGTGGTAGACATTGCATCTTATGTGGTGCGTATCTGGTCTTTTATTCTTTGTTTTATAGTGTCATTTCAATGTAATGTGCTGTTTTTTTGTGTCTTTGTTGTCTCTTTTTTTTCTTTGTCCCCTCAACAGCATTTTGTCCCGGTCAGGCAAGAAGGACAATCAAGATGCCTCCAATTTGACAGTGCCCATGACTATGTGTCTTTTCCCTGTGCCATTCCCACTCACCCCATCTCTAAGACCACAGGTCAGTTCCATCAATCCTACTGTTACTCGCTCCCTCCTTTACAGCGTCCTGCGAGATTCTCCGTCGGAACGAGGCCAACAAAGCCGGGATGCCCAATTGTCCGAGTACCCTTCTTTGGATTATCAGGGGCTCTATGTGACATTGGTTACCTTGTTGGACCTGGTGCCCTTACTCCAACATGGCCAACATGGTAAGAATTTACTACTATTGCTTTATGAAAATGGTGCTGATGATGGTGGTGGGTTTTGCAGCTTGAGAAGCACAACCAAGTCAACCTTAAATCCCAGCTCCAGCCAAAACCTTTCTTTTTAAGTTTTGGATAAAGTTTGGGAAGGGTTTGGTCATTTCTCATGGTTTTGTTGCTACCTGTGTTTCTATTGGGGAGGTTTCTCCTCACATCCTAACCTTGTGATATCATGCACATCTGGCACATGTATGGCTGAGGCACGGGGGTTCGAAACCTCAATAATTTATGGTTGAAGAAGGTCAGACGCATTTAGGTGGGTCACAATAACTCCAGTAGGGCTTCTCCCTGCACAAATGAAGTTAACCTTAAATCCCTGCTCCAACCAAAAACTTTTCTTAGCTTTGGATAGAGTTGGGAAGGGCTGGGTCATCTCGCAGAGCTTTTATTGCTACCTGTGCTTCCCTTGGGGGGCGGTTTCTCCTCATATCCTAACCTTGTGATAATATGGCTGAGGCATGGGGTTCGAAACCTCAATAATTCATGGTTGAAGAAGGTCAGATTCATTCAGGTGGGTCACAATAGCTCCAGTAGGGCTTCTCCCTGCACAAACAAAGTATCCTATGGGATAGGGGACGCAGAGTTTGGAATCCAGGAATAGAAAGTCTTTTGCATTGGATAGAGCTAGAAAGAGTTGGGTCATGATGATGATGCCGATGGGTTTCTTGAGAGGCACAACCAAGCCAACCTTAAATCCCTGCTCCAACCAAAGCATTTCTTAGCTTTGGATAGAGCTGGGAAGGGTTGGGTCATCTCTCAGTATTTTGATTGCTACCAGTGCTTCTATTGAAGAGGTTTCTCCTCATACCCTAACCTTGTGATAACACGCACACTAATCTGGAGCATGTATGGCTGAGCATGGGACTCGAAACCTCAATAATTCATGGAAGAAGAAGGTCAGACACATTCAGGTGGGCCACATTTGCTCCGGTAGGGCTTCTCCCTACACAAATGAGGTACCCTATGGGATAGGGGACCCAGAGGTTGGAATCCAGGAATAGAAAGTCTTTCGCTTTGGATAGGGTTAGGAAAGGGTTGGGTCATGATGATAATGGTGCTGATGGGTGTCTTGAGAGGTCCAACCAAGTTAACCTTAAATCCCTGCTCCAACCAAAAACTTTTCTTAGCTTTGGATAGAGTTGGGAAGGGCTGGGTCATCTCGCAGAGCTTTTATTGCTACCTGTGCTTCCCTTGGGGGCGGTTTCTCCTCATATCCTAACCTTGTGATAATATGGCTGAGGCATGGGGTTCGAAACCTCAATAATTCATGGTTGAAGAAGGTCAGATTCATTCAGGTGGGTCACAATAGCTCCAGTAGGGCTTCTCCCTGCACAAACAAAGTATCCTATGGGATAGGGGACGCAGAGTTTGGAATCCAGGAATAGAAAGTCTTTTGCATTGGATAGAGCTAGAAAGAGTTGGGTCATGATGATGATACCGATGGGTTTCTTGAGAGGCACAACCAAGCCAACCTTAAATCCCTGCTCCAACCAAAGCATTTCTTAGCTTTGGATAGAGCTGGGAAGGGTTGGGTCATCTCTCAGTATTTTGATTGCTACCAGTGCTTCTATTGAAGAGGTTTCTCCTCATACCCTAACCTTGTGATAACACGCACACTTAATCTGGAGCATGTATGGCTGAGCATGGGACTCGAAACCTCAATAATTCATGGAAGAAGAAGGTCAGACACATTCAGGTGGGCCACATTTGCTCCGGTAGGGCTTCTCCCTACACAAATGAGGTACCCTATGGGATAGGGGACCCAGAGGTTGGAATCCAGGAATAGAAAGTCTTTCGCTTTGGATAGGGTTAGGAAAGGGTTGGGTCATGATGATAATGGTGCTGATGGGTGTCTTGAGAGGTCCAACCAAGTTAACCTTAAATCCCTGCTCCAACCAAAAACTTTTCTTAGCTTTGGATAGAGTTGGGAAGGGCTGGGTCATCTCGCAGAGCTCTTATTGCTACCTGTGCTTCCCTTGGGGGGCGGTTTCTCCTCATATCCTAACCTTGTGATAATATGGCTGAGGCATGGGGTTCGAAACCTCAATAATTCATGGTTGAAGAAGGTCAGATTCATTCAGGTGGGTCACAATAGCTCCAGTAGGGCTTCTCCCTGCACAAACAAAGTATCCTATGGGATAGGGGACCCAGAGGTTGGAATCCAGGAATAGAAAGTCTTTTGAATTGGATAGAGTTATAAAGGGTTGGGTCATGATGATGGTGCTGATGGGTCTCTTGAGAGGCACAACCAAGTCAACCTTAAATCCCTGCTCCAACCAAAGCATTTTCTTAGCTTTGCATAGAGTTGGGAAGGGTTGGGCCATCTCTCAGGGTTTTTATTGCTACCTGTGCTTCCATTGGGGAGGTTTCTCCTCACACCCTAACCTCGTGATAACATGCACACTTAATCTGGAGCATGTATGGCTGAGGCATGGGATTTGAAACCTCAATAATTCATGGAAGAAGAAGGCCAGACACATTCAGGTGGGCCACAATAGCTCCGGTAGGGCTACTCCCTGCACAAATGAGGTACCCTATGGGATAGGGGACCCAGAGGTTGGAATCCAGAAATAGAAAGTATTTTGCTTTGGATAGAGTTGGGAAGAGTTGGGTCATGATGATGATGGTGCTGATGGGTGTCTTGAGAGGTCCAACCAAGTTAACCTTAAATCCCTGCTCCAAAAACGTTTTTCTTAGCTTTGGATAGAGTTGGGAAGGGTTGGGTCATCTCGCACAGGTTTTATTGCTACCAGTGCTTCCACTGGGGAGGTTTCTCCTCATACTCTAACTTCGTGATAACATGCACACCTAATCTGGAGCATGTATGGCTGAGGCATGGGATTCGAAACCTCAATAATTCATGGTTGAAGAAGGTCATCTATATTCAGTTGGGCCACAATAGCTCCGGTAGGGCTGCTCCTTGCACAAATGAGGTACCCTAAGGGATAGGGGACTCGGAGTTTGGAGATCAGGAATAGAAAGTCTTTAGCTTTGGATAGAGTTAGGAAGGGTTGGGTCTTGATGATGATGATGCCAATGAGTCTGCACTTTGAGAGGCACAACCAAGTCAAACTTAAATCCCTGCTCCAACCAAAGCATTTTCTTAGCTTTGGATAGAGTTAGGAAGGGTCGGTCCATCTCTCAGGGTATTTATTGTTACCTGTGCTTCCATTGAAGAGGTTTCTCCTCACTTCCTAACCTCGTGATATCATGCACACTTAATCTGGAGCATGCATGGGTGAGGATCTGGATTCAAATCCTGAATAATTCATGGTTGAAGGATATTAATTACATTCAATTGGGGTGCAATAGCTCCAGTATAGCTGTTCCCTGCACAAATGGGGATACCTACCCTATGGGGTAGGGGACCCAGAGCTTGGAATCCAACAATAGAAAGTATTTAGCTTTGGATAGAGTTTGGATTGGTTGAGTAATTTCTCAGGGTTTTTAATACTCTCTGTGTTTCCACTGGGGAGGTTTTTACTCACTTCCTAACCTGGTGCACTCAATCCGGAGCAAGTTTTGCTGAACCACTGGATTCAAATCCTCAGTTAGTCTTGATTCACACTTCTGTGGTACTGCGCGCTGCGTTTGTGCGGTCTCGGCTGACGATTCATTTGAATGGGCTGCTGTGCCTGCATTTCATATAGGAAAGAGGTTTCCTGCACCTTTTTTAAAACGGGCAGGGAAGTTACTGCACGTTCCCACACCTGCAGACGCAGGTACATGGAGGCGCCATTAAGAATGAATGGCAGCCCCGTGCATCTGTTACGAGCAGCTCATTTTCTCTGTGGGTGTCAGCAGGTGCAGGAACAGGTGTGATTTCTGAACCTGAAAGTACTCGTGTAGGTGTGACCCTAGTCTTTTTTGTATTTGAAAGAGGTCAGTCACATTTGTTCTGGCTATAATTGCTCCAGTAAGGCTGCTCTTTGCTTCAATGGGGTGCCCTGTAGGCTAGGGGACCCATGATTTGATATCCAGGAATAGGAAATCTTTAGCTTTGGATTGAGTTTGGATGGGTTGGGTCATCTCTTTTATTGCTATCTGTGTTTCCATTGGGGAGGTTTCTCCTCACTGCCTAACCTGGTAAAACCATGTGCATCGGATCTGGAGCAGGTATGGCTGAGGAGCTGGATTAGAATCATCAGCATGGTTGAAGAAGGTCACATTCAGTTAGGGTGCAATAGCTCTGTTTAGGCTTTTCCTAGCACAAGTGGGATCACCCTATAGGCTAGGAGACCCAAAGTTTGTAATCCAGGAATGGAAAGTCTTTAGCTTTTAAAAGAGTTGGGAAGCATGATGCTGAAGGGTCTGCAGCTTGAAAGGGAGGCACAACCAAATCAACCTTAAATACCAGCTCCAGCCAAACCCTTTTCCTAGCTTTGGATAGAGTTGGGAAGGGTTGGGTGTTCTCTCAACAAGTTTTTTTTTGGCTATCTGCATCTCCATTGGGGCACTTTCCTCTCACTTCCTGATCTAGTGATACCTTGCACACCTAATTTGAAAGATGTAAAATTTGAATCATCAATAATTCATGGTTGAAGGTCAATCACATTTAAACATGGCACAATAGCTCTTCTAAGGCTGCTCATTGCACAAATGAGGTACTTTATGGGCTAGGGGACCCAGAGTTCGGAAGCTTTGTATGGAGTTGGGAAGGGCTGGGTCATCTCTTAGGGTTTTTATTTGACGGGTTGGGTCATCTCTCAAGTTTTTTTTTTTTTTGCTATCTGCATCTCCATCGGGGCACTTTCCTCTCACTTCCTGATCTAGTGATACCTTGCACACCTAATTTGAAAGGTGTAAAATTTGAATCATCAATAATTCATTTTGGTTGAAGGCGGTCAATCATGGTTGAAGGGGGTCAATCACATTTAAACATGGCACAATAGCTCTTCTAAGGCTGCTCATTGCACAAATGAGGTACTTTATGGGCTAGGGGACCC